TTTTCCCAGCCAAAAATTAAACAAAACCACCAAATATACCAAGGACTACACCTCACATTTTGGCTACAGCCATCATGGAAGCCAAATGATGCCAGAAAAGTCTCCTTTGAAACTGTCTGTACTCCTGGCTATAAAGCTCTGTCCTTGCACTTCCCTAGGTGCACTGCAAACCAGAACATTCCTCTCCAAAGACTTCTGGTGCTATTTATTTGAAAGGCATGCGTATTAATCATAGTACACACATGCTGCTCTCCTGTGCTAGCACGAGAAGCCTGAACAGCACATAAGGCCAAGCACAAACCTGAGTGCCTTCTGCTTCCACATTTCTCTTAGTCTCAATGGGCAGCACCAGAGCACCCACTTATGCAGCACTAGGTATTTACCGGAGACAAACCACCAACTGCAAGGACTTCTGCCTGAGGAGGCACGTGAAAATCCAATTCGCAACAGTTCAAACATTGAAACAGTCACCCCACTGCTCTCATTTTCCAAGATTATTTCTTGGACGATTTTGAGGGGCTGAAGGCAGGTTAAACATACAGACCCGAATCACACCCATCATTCCATCGCACGAGAGAGCTCACGAGACCCCTTTAAGGTAAAGCATTAGAACAACAACCGTGATGCAAACAAAATCTTAAAATACACACTTTTTTTACCCTCGCCCGAGCAAGAGAGAGTAGAGAAGGAAGGTTTCACCCACCTGGGATCTTTCTGAATGCTATCAATGGAAGGTGACCTAGCCAGGGTCCCTTCGGGTGGGATGGCCGGCCCCGATTTGCTGTATGGAGACTCAACGGAAGGACAATACTGCAGCTGTCGGTAGGGGTCTGCGTAATTGGAGGCCGGGCCGGCCGCATAGCTGGCCCTCTGGAAGGTGGCGGTGGCGCTCTGCGGGCCGTGTTGACTGCCTGTGCGCTGTAAGGGTACGGAGTCGACACCAGGGGAAGATGGGGCTACGACAGGAAAGTAGGGACAAAGTAAAAAATTGAGGACCTGTTCACAGAAATGGTTAACCAGGTCTAGGCAGAGGAAAGAAAAAAAAAAAAGAAACAAACACACACATATAAAACAAGGGTTCAAAAAGAATGAGAAAAAAAAACAAACAAAGAACAACATTGTCATTTTCAAAACCACTCAAGTCAGCCCCCATCAGGTGACTCTCTACACGGCAGGGCAGCCCTTAGAGCAGCCAGGCACTGCGGGCAGCAGCACTGCTTCCCCGTGGGGTGCGTCACCCCGAGCCGAGGCAGCCCCGGCCCGGGGCGGTGCTGATCCGCAGGGACACCGGGGCAGCCGGCGCCATCCTCGCACAGCGGGAGCGCACGGCTGGGCCGGCACCGCGGCCTGCGGCACCAGCGAGGCGCTGCCAGCCCCGGCACCCCGAATTTAGAGTGCCGGCCGTCTGTAAAAGGCAGAAAATCAGACACCTGCTACTGAAGCAGCTGCTTTGTTAACCGTTTCTCTTGGTGTTTCCCCATGGATAATGCTTCCCGGCCTGCTGCGGCCAAGGGAACGTGAACGCAAGGCGATCTCGCAGATGGCTTCATGCAGGCCAGCCACGCTTGGCTGCTACAGCTCTCAAGATTAGGGCATTAGCAGTTTGGAGCAGCTTAACTAGTAGATTTAAACTGACTTAATGCTTTTGCAACTCCAAAATCTTATTAATCTATTGTGTAGCCCATTACCTTTCCATTACACCGCAGCGTAGCACAATCTAGTCTGCTCTATGAGTTTTATTGAACGTGCGATAATATTTAAGTGCAGATAATGGCAACTGAATTCTTCCTGCAATGGCTAGAGGACTAACACCTACATGATCTTCGCCCTGGAAAGAAATGCAAGTTAAAGGCTGCTTCTGTTGAGAGCACTTTCAATAGCAGATGAGTTCACTGGGGATGCCGCTTCCCGCCCAGGCAACAGGAGCTCCTCCGGAGACGGGAGCGGTTCCATGTTCAGGAGCAGGGGCTGCAGCTCCCACACAAACCTGCAAGCAGAACTGCAGACTCGAGCAATAGCTTACCGTAATGAATTTCCCAATCCTTTCTCATTAACATGCCCATTTTCCTTCCAGGAAAGTAATTATTTTTAATATATCAGAGGTGCATGAAAGGCATTTTAAGCATTTTATATTGAAGTGTCAGAAAATGAAATACTGTCTGCTTAAAATAGAATTACAGCCATTTTGTCTGAGCTAATACTTGACCAAGTTAAACCACCCTGAACAGCTTAAATTTGTACCAAATTCCTGCCTTATTTTCATTTCTCTTGAGGCTGCAACATGTATCACATTATGATAACAAGTATTACCTTCTAATATCATTATAAAAAACACATAAATATAACAGGTTTACTCTAATGCACATACATGGCAACATTAAATAAGGACTCTTTTTGTCTAACTGTGGATTTAACAAATGAGTAATTAGACAGGTTTTTTTTTCCTTTTTAAAAAGAAAACACTAAATCAGTTAAAATACAATAACATGGTTAGATTACTGAGACATCCCAATCACAAATTGTAATAAAGCCAATATTACAAAGACACAGGAAAAATTTATCACATTTTAACTAGAAATACACATAGTTCAGAAAATAATATACTTATGAGCAAAATTATTAAAACATGAGTTAGAGAAAACACTGAAAATATTTTTAAGTGGAAAAAAATAAAAATGGCAATTTTTACACTGAAATAGCAAACTGTTAATCATTGTTAATGGGCAGGGTATGCTGCTAGCTTTTGATGCATCATTGCTATAGGGGAAGTAGCAAAAAGCCCTTCAGTGCCAGTCCTGCTGGAAACAAGAATCTCATTGATGGAGTTCATTCTGCAAAGCAGCCCAGCATCTCGCCCTTCCTTTTCTTTGCAAGGAGTCCTATAAAGATGGTGTTGGCTTTTCAATTCTTGGAAAAACTTTTCTTTCCATTTGCTACTTAGTCTTGTTATCAAAATAGGTACTTATAGGAACTGAAACTAGCTGTCACCCCAACACCTACGTGCTTTTTGAGTCACACTGATTCATTTCTCAATTTATCTTCCCAACAGACTGCAACTTCCCTTCGAATTTTATCGCAATGAACACAGTGCTGCCATCGTTAGAATACAGAACAATATTCAGAAAACACTTCTTTAAGCATTCACAAATAGGTTTATGCTTCTTCAGTGTTAACTAGTTTAATAAATGAAAAGTCAGAAAAAAAGCTAGGTTTAACTTGAATATAACAACCTTCTCAGATAGTAAATGGATTTAGCTTTAGTAATTCATAAAAATATGGACTGAATTAATTGTAATATGAGAATTTTTGTAGCCACATAAATATTTTGCAGGACCTGTTTAGTGCAGTCACCTTTCAGGAGCAGAGGAACAGAGTTATCCACACACAGCAATACCTTTGACGTAATGTCCTCCCCGCTTGCAAGCCTGGCTTATATAGACCATATCCTGCACTGCTGGGGCTAACTTGCACTGATGGGAAGGTCAGGCACTGGAGGTAAGAACACGAGCAGCAAGAGGCCAATAAATCTCAGAGCATTCATGTTATTTTGAATGTGGGGGGACTTCAGGTAAATACAGGAAGGGTATTTGAAGGGGAAGCCGTTAGCTCTGGGCTGAGAAGGAGAAATTACCTTGAAGTTCCAAAGTGAAAATTTCAAAATACACAAGCCAAGAGCCATAATTTCAGAAAGCACAATATATCACCTCAAGATTGCCTTTAAAATCTTGTTTTAATTTGGCATATCATTACTACCTTTAAAATGCCATGTCATCTCAAGCCTCTACTACTGCTTCATCAAAACCACATTCCCCAAAACCTGAACTAGTAGATTGTCACTTAAAGACTTACTACGGTCTTCCTAAGAAATTTTGTCAGAGACTACAAAGCCCCTGTTAACCTGTAGACCTGATATTTGCAATGACTCTTGGTGACAGAAATTGCTTTCAAGAAAGCCAACCTACGTGCTTTTCTACAGCTTTTACATAGTATCAACAAAAATAGAGCAACTTTGATACTGACACTGAAAATTTAGGTGATTCTCTGAAAAGGCTCATTCAAGTTCAGAAATTCGCTTTAAGTTTTGTATCTTATTTTTGAAGAGATGACTTCTATAGAAGACACAAACAAAATCCAAAACCAAAATCATGGTCATTTGCATTGGCAGGAATACTCTAGCATCACATCTGGGCATCTTAGGGAGATCAACTTCACATAAAAACTGCTAAGATGTTCAGACTTCCTAAAAGCCAGCGGGAATTTTGTCCAGTTAACAATTCTGATCCAGTTCCAGGATCAGAACTTCAGAAGAGATTAACTAAACTGAGACTTATTTTGCTGCACCTTCTTGTGGAAAATGACTTGGCTGATACTACTGTTTGAGTTGTGGATATCACCTTTTAATCCTCTTATTTTAACCTAAACATTCAGTTCCTATATTGATCTTCTCACATGAGTAAATTGTAATACAGATTTTTATAATTTATTTTTGCACTGATTTACACAAGCAAAATTCTTATTCATATGTGAAAGTTGAAGTTCTGTAGAAAATTGGGTACCAGTAGGATGTCCTCTCACTTGAGGGTATGTCCACCATCCCTCCCTCCATGATGGGAGTTCACAAAAGGTAAAGATGTATTTAAAGTCCTTCTGCTAGCAGCAAATGTATAATATTTATAAACTAGATACTTTTCTTACCTAATATGCTGCAAATTAGCTAGCACCAGTAGTCAGATTTAACACCGTTAAAACTGTATAAAACATACGTGATAAAAAGCTGCTTAGCATTTAAAACAAAGAATCACTTTTCCACGTGGAAAACAGAGGATTGTAGAGAAATACTGGGGTAGCCCCAAAATATTAGCAGAAAGAGAAAACATTACTACAGGTTTTCAAGATTCTCTTCCTCCTCACTGTATTTTGTGCTGTGTAGACCTTGCAAGCAAACACTCCAGCTTCTGAATCCTGTATTTAGTCTCAACCCTCACTCAGCCTCTGAGGCTTTATCCCCATGACACGGGCCGTCTACATCTTCTCACTTCTGCCATTCCTCCCATTCTCTTACGCCTAAGAAAGTTTAAAACAGCAGAACACAGAAAAGCTGCATCACATTAGACAGGTCTCTCCGAAACAAGCCCCACTCCCTAGGAGTTCCATTGGTGCTAACTGAACCTTAACTGCCTGTAACAGGGTGAGCTACGGCAGCTCAAGAACTTTGGGATCCGCTGTCTGAAGTCACCTGCTAATGAGGAACTGGGTGCATCATCCATGAAGGCACTTGGCACCTTTCCCTTAGGTTCTCTTTCTTACAGCACAGGAGGAGGTAGCTCTGCAAAGTACTTAAAAAGACTTCCGAGCGGTGCCAGTGCCCCGGCAATGGCTTTACCTACACCTCTCATGTGCAAAGCAAGTTTGTAAATACCACTGAAGACAAAAATCTGGCTAAACACCATGTACCACCTGGAAGGCATTGTCACTTGCACACAATTTTTTTTTTCTTTTTAAACTGTAGAAAACAGAATCCTTTGGTCCAAGGATACTCTGACCAAACTGGATTCAGTAACAGGGACATTCGCATTCTCAGCCAGGCTGCTTTCCGAGCTGATGCAGAGGTCAGGGTGTATTGGTTGCTTTTTTTTTGGTGAGGACCTAGGGCTTCAGTCTTAGCAACTGATATGAGTGCATCATTTCTCAAGAAACTCCTGAAATAAGTCCTTAAAAGCTCTTCTTACTACCCAAGGCAATAACGAACACTGAGACTTTTGAATAATACCTTGATTAAATCCATAGTGTATCGAAATTTGTAAGACTGAAGCCACTGCTCAGCCATCTCCACCTCTTCAGTATTTCAATGACTTTAAAGTATAAAACATTTCACACAGCTCAGTGCCAGATTGCTCACCGTGTTCCTGTCTCGGTTTTAAACAAGTACTAACATTTTATGAAGCTTAAACTCAGG